GTAGAGATGGTCTACACCCCCCGCCAGAACCCGAAGCCTTGGGATTTTCCCCCTTATGCTAACAGCCCTTACTCGGGAGTATAGTACCGCCCCTGGTGTAATCCCTGTTGAGGAATGTTAGTATCAGGGGGAACACTAAACCCTCAACCCTAAACCCTTAACCCTTAACCCTAAACCCTAAACCCTTCCAGAGGAGCTGCAGAACGCGCTGGTATTGAAGCAGGAAGCTTTTTGGGACGAGCTTACAAAGCTGGTCCGGAGCCTCAGCACTTAGGGTGTAGGGTTGAGGGTTGAGGGTTTAGGTTCTTGCACGGATTATAATCATGTCCGCCCAGGCGCTTAAGTTGTCATAGTTCAGCTTGTTCAGACGCAAACCTGAAGCCACATGCGCTTGGTGAGGACTTCGCAGAGTGCTGTTGCCAAGAATCTCACAATTATAACCCTAAACCCTAAGCCCTAAGCATAGGGGCCATCGGGATTATGGGCTCACCCGAGAGTCGACTCATTCAGGGAGGTACCTCAACCCTGGATTTCCAGCTGGGGCACGGGCGCACCGGTGTTGGATTTGGGTACAGTTTATCGTGCAACCCCTTGAACAAGGAAGTTGCGCTAAGTAGTGGCCTGTGCTGTGGCCAAAGGGTGGAACTTCCAAGTACTGGTGTTTGGGATCACACTCGACATTCCGAGACCCTTAGAACCAAACACCGCAGACCCTAAATACTTCAAGCCCTTAACTCGAATTCGTTGCTCTCTAGACTACAGTCCTCGATCCCAATCCGTTCCAGCATTTCACAGTTCGCCTAGGTTTGGATCATCGCCAGGCCGCTCCTATGTTCTTCTGTTCCGGACGGTTGCTTACATAGATGTTGTGATTGGCTCATTCAAGGTTTGGTCCAGGGGTGGCATGTTTGTGACGCCTCTGCCTGCTGGGGCCATTGCTCATAACAATGCTTTCTCTTAGAATCGCAGAAGTTCTCAAAACCATTCCGCACGGGGCGCAACTGATGTCTCGAGTCCTCTTGCGTGTTTCGGATTTGTTGGGTGGCAGGCTGTGTACTTGCTTACGAGCCGAGCGTGAGTTTCTCACCTCAGGATTCTGATTTCAACCTAAGTTTCTTGCCAAGGTCAGAGAAGCTTACATCCATCAGTTACAGGCGCCGTAAACATTTTTGTAATGCTACGCGACCCGCCTCGGCCGGGGCCTGCGCAGCGGCGAGGTGTTCGTTGTCGACCGGACAGGCTCACAGATGGAGCACTCGCGCGGTGTGGAAGGAGCCCAAACCCAACGGCAACATAGGATGAGGAAAGCGGGTCGCAGCGGGGCCGACAGGGCTTGGGCGGGGGGGGAGGCCAAGGGCTGGGGGGAGGCACGCCCTCGACGGATTATGGTCCCAAAAGCAGAGATCCATTCTCACCTTATTAGGCCCCCCTAGATCATGTGCCATTCTGGCTGAGAGTAGATGTGAGGTTTGCAGATCTGTCCAGAAGGGCTGCAGAATTTGGCATGTTCCCCCGTCAGACTTTCCTTGCTGTGCAGAGACGTTCAGATGCAGATAAAAAAGTGGATGAAAGGCTGCTGCCCGTCCTCCTGCTACATTTTGGGGCAGCCGTCACGCTGGCGCTTAGCTGGCGAACCTTTCCTTGAAGCACCTGCAGTGACCTGCAGGCTAGGGATAGTTTTCTGAATCGTTGCCGGATTGGGCGTCGCCCGCGCAACACCTAAATTTTCCGGGGTTGCAGAGCAAGACTCATTGCCAGTGAAGGGAAGTGAAATCCCCCCTCATGTGGGCTTCAGACTGTTGTGATTTTGAGAGCGCCGGTTGGGCCTAGCTTTAGCACCTTCTAGACACAGTTGCCAGTCCGCATTGGCTGAGGAAAGTTCCTGACGCAGAAAGCGTGGCCTGGCGAAAGCTCTGCCACCCTAGACCAAATAGTTTTGGGCTCTGGGCTTAAGCTGCTCTAAGCCCTAAACACCCGACCCAACCTTGTCGTATGTAATTATGGACTGGATATAAGGAGAACTCATAAGGCATTCTGAAGAGGGTCAATATTTTTAGGGGTTCCCCTAGTCCCACCTGCTTGTGAATGAGTCGTAAGTTCCATTCGCAGCGGCCAAAGCAGTATACACTCTGAACCCGAAACCCTACCAAAATCTGAAATAGACCCTCACCCTCCAACCTGAACCCAGATCCCCTAGGTGCCTCTTTGACTTTAGCGGCTATGTTGGGTTTAGGGCCTGGGGCAGTGATTCTCAGAAAAAGGTCACTTAGGCTCCTGAAACTCCGCTCCGATACGCTAGAGCCTTTGTGCTTGAACCACCCGAAACCTTAAACCCTTTCACACCCTGGACCCTGTACCCTAAACCCCTTTTACACCCTAACCCTGTACCCGAAACCACCTCACTAGTCTAAAGCTCCTAGTTCTGCGGCCTTCAGGAAGTGTTGTGTTCTAGGGTGTAGGGTCGAGGGTGTAGGGCTTTGTGTGTTGCGGCAGATTTGGGGTTCGGAGGGGGCATTTTGATCTGATGTTTTAGCAGCCAACACCTTTGAGCAAATTAGGGTTTAGAACTTTGGGATTATGGCCACATACAGCATGAGGCCGCATGCAACTACACGTGTACCCGAGACGCTACCCTACAAAAAGCCTGAAGTGCGTGGATATTCGATTGTGTAGGTTTCAGGGTGTAGGGCGTAGGGTTATCGAGTGCTGGGATTCCAAGCGGCGGGTCTTGGTGAGTTCGGTTGCGCGTTGAGGGTTGCGGCCGGTTGCAGCTTCAAGAATCCTACAATCGGGGAAGAAGTCTTGCTGGGCTTGTCCTGCGAGCGCTAATTCCAAACCGTCAAGCTAACTGGCGCGCACCAAGGCTCGACATGTATGTGCCTTGCTTGCAATTCAAGCCGGAACCCCCCCCCCGCCAAATTCCCCCGACCGAAACCCTTGAATCTCTAAAACCTTACACCCCTAACTCCTACAACCCTCAAACCACCTGAAGTTCAATGAGCTAAAAAGCCGAAAGCCGAAGCTCGCGACTGGGTTGCTCACTGTCATCGGGTTTGGCTCAGGACCTGTGAGTTTTTGAGGTTGCGCATGCTTTGCCGGTTGACAATTGAGCAGGGCTTCGGAGGGCCCTTCGGGCTGGTGGGGCTTTGGGGAGCTACGATTTGACGCTTGAGGTGTTTAGGCTTGGAGCGTTGGGGTTTCTACTGTAAGGTCTTTATGTATTTCAAGGCCAGGGTTTTGGATCTCTGCACAGTGCAGCTTTTGGATACTGTATCACTGTATCCCTTAAACAGCCTACGCGCCCCACACCTTCACTTCTGCCACCTCGACCTCTTCGCGGTTTGGGGGCTTTGAAGCGTTGACACGGCCAACTGAGCTCAGGTCTCGAACCGAAATTGCTTCTACAGGATCAAGGTGCAGTATCATATCTGCATATAGTTTGGGGGTGCGGACTTTCAACACTGGCGCTTTTGGTTTTTTGCGCATCACTTCCTTCCAACATCAGGAGGAAGAAAATCCGAGGCCACCGCGGCACCTGCATGTTCGACCGGCGTGCGATGCGCATGCTGGTAGACCCCTAAATTAGACCCCAAATAGTAAGAGTCCCTTATGAGAAGGACCCCAATAAGGTATAGTACCCCAATTTCAGAAACCCCCATTTGAGTCCAGAGCCTTCAACAGTGATGTTTGATCCTGAGCAACTGGCTCCGAAGTTCACTTGCCCCTCTCCCAGTGATGAGCACTGCATTTTCGAAGAAGCCAAGGTATGGGAATTTGGACAACCCCGATCAGCGAATTGCGCAGGACATAGGCGTCGGGGTTGATTTTCATACCAAGGAGTGATGATGGCAACCGGCTGCGTGTGGTTCAGATACTCTGCATTGGGCCATTCCAGAAGAAGTTAGCGGCTGGATCAGAGCATGAGAATCAGAAGCGGAACGGACCGGCTCAGATTCATAGACAGAATCAGGCTAAATGCTGCGTCAGGCTTCAAAAACTCAGGTTGTGTGGCTGCGGATCTAGGGCGAAAGTGAAGCTGCCAGTCTAACTTCCGAAAAGTTCTCTCCAGCGCGAATATAGTCCTCGTATCACCATCATATAGCTCCAACAGCCCTATTTCCGTGTCATACCCGGTCACTGGCGCCGATTTAGAGCTTACATAGGGTGTTTCTGGGCTGTCAATGAGCCGAAGCCTGTGACCAAGCTGTTGGCTCAAGTTGTTGCGACCCAAATCCTACTGCAACCCAAAACCTCACCAAATTAATCTGCTGGAACGGTTCTATGCCCTTAGTTACAGGGCAGAATCCCCCCGCAGGAGCAAGGTAATTCGGGAATCAGGTATAAGCCCCGAACCCTGAACCACCCTGAATTCGCGCCGAAAAACCTAGGGTTCAGCCCTGCCTTCCCTGAAAGGCAACTTCACGAAGACCTCTGTTCAGCTAATCCAGAAGCTGGTACTGGACGTGTTGGGCTCGGAATGGCAGCAGGGGTTTCAAGTTTAGGGTTTAGGGTTTAGGGTTTCGGGTTTATAGAAGGATAGGGGTTTCAAGTTTCAAAGGACTCTGCTGGGAGCTTGTCTGTACGCACAGTTGCCCAAGTAGCTGTCCTTGGTGTCTTAGGAACAGGAGCTACAGGCCTCAGAAGCATGAAGCGGCTCTTTCGATAGCGGGGTGGTGTAGTTGGGCTGCGCTATCGATGTTCAAACGCATACTCCACACATTCTTCCCCGAAATATGTAGACCCAAATTCCCTCACTCTCAACCCCAACACCAGAATTCATTCCCAGGGCCAGTATACTACATATTTCAATAGCACCTGGAGACACCTCCCGCAGTAATTGAAGGAAAAGACATGCCTGTGAATGCAACTTGTCCAGTTTCAACTCTTCCGATCTTTTCTGGGGTTTTGTTTATTTCAGGCTCGTCTGGTCGAAAACGCCGAAGTCCTGAACCTCAGCCCTATAGACCACCAACAAAGTTCTAAGCACCTCAACGAAGGCCATGAAAATCGCGCTGAACTCGGCTGCCTTGATCGCCATCTCGCCGCGACTGCCCCGCGGCCTTGCCATAGCGGCTTATCTCCCCGAAACACCTGCTCTTTTGAGAAGCCTGCGGCCACAGTTTCTGGCCGGTAGCCTATTAATTACTAGCACTCGGGGTCGTGGTTTCTTGGGTAGGGACGGAGGAATGCGCATTCCTCGTGAGGGAGATGCAGGGGATGCCCCTGAATCCCGTATTCCCGCACCTAAGAACCAGTGAATTGCATTTTTTTGCAGGGTTTTCGGGCTTGGGCCAGTACTCCGAAGCCCAGCCTTTAATCTCTTGATCCCAAGAGGCTGGGAGTAGGGGGAGGGTGAGGAAAAAGGTGGTACTGGGCACTTTCTGTGAGTAGTTTTAGTTCTTCCCGCTCGCGTGTAAAGTGTTGATACCGCTGGAAGCGAAAAATCAAGTAGTAGGATTCCCCTATAACCCCATTTTCGGAAACCCCCACATGGGCCAGCTCGATGCCACTATGCTCAGGTTTTACACCCTCGTGGGGTTCTCTCTGCTTTACACTGCCGCATCCTCAGCGTCATGCAGAGAGTGTTGCTACAGGTTCTCAAGGCCTTCCACGGGCTCTCTAAGAGCGCCTTTCTGGAATCATTTGCGTTGCCTTCCGGGCCTCCTGAATGCTAATTCGTCCAGACATCCCTATATAGACCCTGACGAAGACCCATCAAGTTCGGGCGCGCAAAGAGGCAGCGCCGATGACTCGGGAACAGCAAACCAAGCTCGCCTTGGGCAGCTAAGCCCTAAACTAGGGCGTGCTGACATATGGTTCAATTCGACTTGGTTCTCTTGAAAGGGGGCCTCGTGAACATTATGATTTCAAGGGTGTGCCAGAAACAGTCAAGCCTCAGCCCGAAGCTCTCTCGACTGAGTTTGTGTCCTTGGTGTTCTTCGCCGCGCCACTGATGAAAATTCAGCGCCGTGTTCTTGCCGTGGAGGAGCCTCAGGGACGGGAGGGTGGTGCTTTTGTGGCTAAGCAGACATCAGCTCATGACGGTTATGCAGTGCCATCCTCGCCGAAGTCGAATTTGGTTTATGTAGGAACTCGGTCTTCTGAAGGAAGCCCTACAGGTCTGTTTAAATCGAATAGGCAGTGGAGTGTTACACTGTATACACGTATACATCTAACACACAACATGTCGACTGAGCATGCATCCTGTCGGGGTCTTACCGTCGGGCTGATGCCACCTACACCCTACCTTAAGGATCCAACCTCCTCCAGAACCTAAATGGGCCTTTGCCCTAACAGCCCCAAACTCCGAACTCTGACCCTCAACACGAAAGCGCTAAACCTAAACCTGGAGCCACCAACCAAGCCTGGGCAACAGGCCGACCTGCGGTATGTCTTGGTACGACTGCGGGAGCACGCCAAGCCCTGAGCTATAGATTATATGGAACTGAGTCTTTGCGTAGGGTCTAGCGTGACCCATGGCGGAGCTCGGAGGCCAAGACTTTTGAAGGTTCAGAGGGTTTAGTAGTTTGTTTGGGGTTTGGGGGGCTTAGGGCCTATGTGCCGATAGGGTTGAGCAAGTTTAAGGCTGCTTGCAGGCTGAATCCGTGGCTTTCTTCCGCGGCTACCGGTACGAGCGGGAGTGTTCTGAAGCAGCGCCTCGGTGTCAAGTGGTTCAGGTGCCTTTCTGAGGATCCTGCAACCAGGTGGCTCGCCATTCACAATTGGGGGCTTTCCTAAGCCCTACACCCCGAACCCTAAACCGACCGGTTCATTGTAGGAGGGAAGTTTGTTTGCAGGCATGATCTTCTTCGCATGCCAAGGTGCTTGACCACGTCATCTGGTCTGGGGCAGAGCTGGGTGTGGGGATTGAGGATTTGAGGTTTCTGGGTTGGGCAGTTTGGGCATTTTGGGGCTTGCTGTAGGCAATTCGGGTGGGGAGAGGGGAGAGGGGTGAGAGTGCTTCGCATGCTCTGACCTGTGTTTTAGGTGAGCTCACATAGACTGCAGGTCGAAACCCTAGCATCGACAACGCCTAGCCGTAAGCCAAAGAATTCTTCCACCCAAGCCACCAAATCTAGGCTTGCGGCTTGATGTATCCAAAGCCTTAAGCTTTCAGGTCCCCAAAAGCCCTCAAAACCCAACAGCCCTAAAACAAGCCATTGAGCCCCCCAGAACCCTCAACACTAACCCTAATCCCCCCGAAAACTAGGAGATCAACCCTTGGACCTAGAAACTCTCGCGGGCCCTGAGCAGGGAAACTCTCGACGACTTAGCGTACCCCAAACTAGAAGCACGATGTACGATCATGGAATCATGGGGACCCGCCAAGAAACCTGCATAATTTTGATTAACCCCACAGAAACTGTACCCAGCAGCCGAGAAGAACCCAAGAGACAACTGGCTCCAGCCGTGCAGCGCGAAGGTCGAGCTACAAGTTTGCCGCTGCGGGCTTAGCATCGGGATGTGTGGGTTTTGTGAGTTTGGGCTTAGAGGGTTACCGAAACCCTGAACCCCTAAACCGATTGGCATCCAGCTTCTTTGCCCCCTTGCTGTCTGAGGCCCACGCATCTATAAGCCCATAGCCCAACCCCCCCCCCTCCCCCCGTTTTTCAACTGAGATAGGGAGGTGCTCTGGCGTCCTCCATGCCTCCTTAAAAACAACGTCGCATGCCCTGACAGCGCAGGAGGGTTTGAGGGCTAGAGCTGGAAGGGGGGTGAAGTCGACCAGCAAGTCGTCTGCTACTTGTGGAGGCGTGGCCTCCGAAAGTTGAGGGAGGGAAGGAAGCTTCACAGACTTTCCAGCTGAGGGCATCGAGATGATCTACAAGATGCTCACCGGCACCTCGCCGCGCAGGGGACAGGGGAGGCTCATAGGCACCAAGGCGTTGACGTTTCTGAGGTGGTTGGAGTTTCAGGGCTGTCAAAAGCATGGCCCAAAGACAGGAAGCATGAGAAGGTTTCAGACCTGATGTGGGAAGCCCCAGGGCTCGATCCTGAATCCTGAGCCTGATTCCCCACAGAGCCGGGCCCTGGAAAGGGTCTAGGGGCTTAGGGCGCATGAGGAAGCGGAAGGGCAGCGAGTTTGAGCGGAGCCCTCCTCGGTAAAGCTAAGTGGCAGCCGTGTCGGAGCACAACGTATCTAGTTCTTTGTGCTCAGTGCTCTTGCTTCGCGGATTTGCTCGGTATCAATCCCATGGAACCGATGCTCCAAGCCCCAAACCCTTCATGTAAAGCCCGAATTCCTAAAAGGCAAAATCCACACCTTGAAGCCTACGTGTCGGGTGGCTCTGAAGACTCCCCCTAAACCCGAAACCCTGGCCGAAAACCCTAAACCCTAAACCCTAAACCCTAAACCCCCATCAGCACGCGCTGCAGGCGTAGTGCAAGCCGGCTTTAGCCTGATGCCGATGCTCATCGTGGCACCACTGCAGCCTGGCCTGTAAGACTGGATAGGGGGCTCTTTTTCTTCCCCTTTCGTTGAGGCACTTGCTTTGAAAGGGCTGCTAGAGCAAGAAAGCTTGGTACCCAAACGAGGAGGTGGCCAGGGTATAAGCCTCTCTGTAAATTTCTTGAATTCAAGCTTTCGGGTGTGTGGACTGTAAAACGTTCACAGTTTAGGGATGCAGGGTGCTGGGTCGGCCGAACCCTAAACCCTAAACCCGAAACGTTGGTGACAATTTCGCAGCCCAGGTACTTTGAGGACAAGGTCTCCTTCGGCACCATCAACCAGAGCCAGGTGCCGGTCTAGCCTCATCATCAAGTGACCTGGAAACCCCTAAACCCCTAAACCCCTAAACCCTAGACCCTAAACCACGTCCGAGATGTTGTTAGATCTGAGAGCCGCTCCAAAGCTTGTGCTTGCGAAAGAAGAAGGGCAGAGGGCATAAGGGCAGCTACATGGTCGGGCATGGGCGGGGAACTGCCTTACCCGCAGAAAGTCGTCCTCCACAAGAATCTGAGTCTTCTTCGTTTCGCACATCTACCTTATAAATATACAACTAGATAAGTTTATATTATTTGTACTTATATGCCATATATATATATATATATATATAGAGTCTTATTTATTTATTTATATTCATTTTTTATTTATTTATTTAGTTATACGTATGTATTGTGTATATATACACACATGCATACACATAGACAGTTCTTTGCACACGCACACACACACACACACACACATACTGAACACGCTGCAACATTCATCCTGGGACCCGATGTCTGCGAGCTCTCGCGTCGCAGCTCCTCTTCCAGACCCTCTTGAGTGGCATGATGGACCTGGGCAAGGCCACGGGAATCTGTCGTTTAGGGTTTAGGGTTATTGAGGTTTCCGGGAAATCTGAGAAGCCAGTGCTCTAGCTCCTTACGCCTGAGACTCCGCACCCAAGCATCGTCTAATGCACCCCCACCCCCCCACCCGCCATCTCCCGTTCCGGAAACTTGCGCTGTGTCAGCCATGGCGCGCTGTGCGTTTGTTTTCAAAAAGCCGTGTTGACAGACAGGCTAGGGGCCGCCAAGACCTTCTAGGCCCCCAAACTCCTTCGAGGAACCAGTCAGTAGGTGTTAGATTTTTGGCGGGCGCTTTTGGGGTTAAACCCTAAACCCTAAACCCTACTGTTCCGGGCCGATAGTTCGACCCACCAACATCTTGGGGTTGTTACACCCATACCCTGCCCTCTTCCCCATAGACTCCTGACACAATGGGGCTGGGGGCCTCCTCCGGGGCTTCTATAGTACTATATTTTCAAAACGGGGTATTAATTTCTCCGCTAGCAGGCGTAGGGAAAACGCTACTTCTCGGCACTCCGCTACTCCGCGGGAGCCTTCACTGTCTGCGTGCTATCCAACATGTGCCGTGGGTCGGAACTTTCGGCCCGGGGGTGTAAACCCTAAACCCCAAACCCTAAACCCTAAACCGGCCTTGAGAGGAGCTGAACGACATTGCCAAGCTGGGCGCCGAGTCGATTCGCGTGAAGGACGTGACTCTAGCTCGGAGTCGATCTAAGCTAAGATCCCACACCTTTCTGACACCTTTTATAACTAGGATGCCCAGTTGGGGGGTTTAGGTTCCCTTACAAACCCCGTAAAGCAAAAAAAGGCACCCTGTTTAAGCCTAGGTTACTGGGCAGCCTAGATAAACAGACTACTCTTTACAAGGATCCCAAGTCTATGCTTTGAGGATGTGTAGGATTTTATAAGGCTTAGGGCATCGTGGGGGGTCCAGAATCACCACCGGGAGCTCTTCGGCTCCCAGTTCGAAGATATACTCGGTAGGCCTTTGGGACATTTTACATTTCCCGCCTTATTGGGTTCAATATTTTTTCAGAGGGTTTAAGGGCCATCTTAGTGTACAAGCAGGGGGCCAGAATTGACGAGAATGAGTGTTTGGATTCGTCAGCATGTGGAACAGGAATGGGTACAAAGGAAAGATGATCTGTAGTTCTTTAGGATTCAGTGTCATCTCTGTATTTTTCATTTGCATCTGGAGTCAGGAGTCAGGTTTTAGGATTGGAGGTGTTGAAGCCCAATAAACCTATTCAAACTGAAAGGCCCATGTCACATAAACCCCATAAGCCCATAAGCCCATAAGCCCATAAACCCATAAACCCATAAACCTATAAACCCATAAACCCTCAACTCCCGAAAAACCCATAAACCCACCCGCAACCCCGATCCCCCTGAAGCCCCTCCCTCAAAGCTCCATAACCCCCCCTAAACCCCCCCCCTAAACCCCCATAAACCCCCTGAACGCCCCTTCAAGAGGAACTCTGGGAAGCCCTCGAATCCATAGAGAAGGACGAGGCCGGGCTAGCGGCTTGGGGACTCTACGGCTTGTGGTGGCGAAGTTCGGATTCAGGTTCCGGCCCTGCGACTCCGGCAAATTAGCCGAAGAAAAGTCATGGGCTTCTGGAAGGGTTATTAGAGTTATTAGGGTTTACGGAACCATGGTAGCCATATCCAGATTCCGTGGCCCCTCTGGCATGCGGAGACTTGCATGAGTACTTTGCGAGAGGTGACGAAGACCCAGAGCCACGATAAGGATGACATCGCGAGCACAACAGCAGGCTCGAGTGATGATGTAAGCGGCAACGAGACGCTCAGCTTAATGATTTCGTGGTGGCGGAGATAAGCCTGGGGACAGTTCATCTGGCAAAGTGCAGACACACGGGACAGCACAACACAGGACAGCACAAGGCAGTCTGCTGTTCCTGTCTTCTACTCAACCTGAAACCAGGCCTGCGGACCACACAACGAGAGTCTAGGATGGTGGGGTGGGGGAGAATACGTGGGTGGTGGGTGGGGTGTGTGTCTGTGTGGGCGCTTTGGCTATTTCGCATTTCAAGGGCCTTCAAGTGGGAGGGCTTAGGATTGGGGGAAGATCTTGGCAAAGACACCATAGAGTTGGAAGTTAAGAGTCTTGTGGCTTGCGCCCTCGTTTCAAGGTCCGTCTCCAACTCAGATGTCGAGAGGCCCGTCGACTCTGGCGGTGAGGCACCTCAAGGGGGCATAGGGTTTAGGGTTTGGACTGATCTGTTCAAGAGTAAACTGCCTGAAGTCCGCGAAGCAATCAGAGCACTGTAATAGAAAACCAAAGCTGCGTGAAGACACCTGAGAGCCCTGATCCCAGGATTCCCTAAACCCTAAATCCTAAGCCAGTGCAGGACTCACAGGGTGCCAGAGATTGGGCCTCTCTAGGATTTGGGCCAGGGGGTGTCGTCCCTGACATTCTTACTCCGGGCTTTGGGGCGTGGGGGTTTTGGGGTCTTTTTTGAGAACCTGCAGGTCCTTGAAGAACTGGAGCTGCATGAGCACGACCCGGTGCCCGCCCTAGTCAAGACTGTTGCTGAAATCGGAGGAAAATTGCAGAGTCATCGCCAGAATCATAACAGTAGCTTCTCAAAGACTCATCTTCGGGTAGGGCCTAGGCCCCCGTGTAGTTGCAGCTTCCGGTCTGGGTCTCTGATGCGTTACTTCTGAGCCTGTGGCGTGGGGTTTAGGGTTTGAGGTTCTGGTTTCTTGGGATTTATCGTTTAAGGTTTAAGGTTTAGGGTTCCCTCCCATGTGGTGTGAAAGCTGCGATTCCGACCTTTGGCTATGACCTGGCCGATCATGTGTCGCTCACCCACCTTCAACGACAACCACAGCCACCCAACACCAGACCATACAGAGTCCTTGGTAGCTTAGATGAACCCTTTCCCCTTTTTTGGGTTCAAGGTTCCCTTATAAAGCAACCAACCCCAATAAGGGTGCCCTTCCTATGATATGGTTGCTGGGCTACCAAGAGTCGCCCTGCACTTCCGTGGGAACGCGCAAGCCGACCAAGGAGTCGACAAACGTTCGGCTTCAGCTTGCGAACGTGCGGCGGCCCAGCCTGGGGCATGTGGGGCTTAGTGTCGGGTTTAGGGCTTAGGGTCTAGGGTTTGGGGTTTAGGGTGTAGGGTTTGGGGTTTAGGTTTTGAAACTGCTCGGCCTGGCTATCTGGGTATGGTTCCAAGGTCTATGCAGCGGATCCAGGAGAGTCCTGAGATCAAGTGTTCTTGCAGGCTAGCTTCGATAAGCAGCCATGAATCGCAGAAAGATTCTGCATTTTCTTTACCACCCTCCACCCGAAGCCCTAAACCCTAAACCCTAAACCCTAAACCCTAAACCCTAAACCCTAAACCCTAAACCCTAAACCCTAAACCCTAAACCCTAAACCTAGGGTTTAGCTAGGTTTAGGGTTTAGGGTCCCCTAAACCCTAAACCTAGCCAGCAACATGAGGTGACGCTCTATGCGCCTTTGTCAAGCAGCCCACTTATCTCCAACCTTACGCTGACGTTGAAGCAAGGCCTGAGAGAGACCCTGACAGTCTAGGGTCTAGGGTTTAGGGTTTAGGGTTCAGGGTTTAGGTTTTTTCGGGTTTTGCGGTTTTTGCGGGTTTAGGGCTGTCGGGCTCGTCTTCGTTTCAACTTGGTGGTGAGTTGGGGTTCAGGGTGTAAGCGTAAGTGCTGGGGCCGTTGACTGAACAGATCTTTAGGGAGGTTTCGTAGACTGGGTTTTGCGGTCTTGAATGGGCGGTTGGGATGCCGAAGCCCTGAACGGACAGGGGGGGGGGGGGGAGGTTCCCGATCTGCAACCCTCAGGGAGTTGGAGGGCTGGGGTTGAGGGTGCTGAGCAGAGGGGCGAGAAGGAAGGCAGCACAAGAAAGGAGAGAAGCGACCAGCTTTTATGAGGCCTGCGTGCCACGAAACTCTCCTCGCTCCGATCTCTTGGCAGCGTGTAAGCAAAAGATGTCTAACGACCCCCCTAAACCCTAAACCTTGAACCCGGAACCCTGAACGCAAAGCTGTGCAGGTCAGTCGTTGCTTATCGAAGGCCCGAGCGGTAGTGGCAAGTCTTCGCTGCTCCGAGCGATAGCAGGATTGCAACTCGCCTGGTTAAGGTGCGAGAGGAGGAGTCTACCGGCTAAGAGTTTCGAACCGCTGGAGCCTTCAATTGTTCGGGCTTGGGGCCATTGAGGAATTCGAGCACCATGGTTCTAGCTATAGTTCTGATGCCCTAGACCCGCACTGAAGCCCTGAAGGGATTGAAGCCGAAAGCCTATCATTGACCCCCACAACCTCAAGCCCAAGCACCCGGAATAGTTCTGTTTCTCTGAGGATGGGCTTTAGGCTCGGATGTTGTTGTTGTTGTCCAAGTGTGGGTCCCCTAGGTAGGTCTTATCCTACAGGTGTATTCAGGACAACCTGAACCCAAACCCTGAACCCTAAACCCTAAGCAAAAGGGTTTTGGGATCCTCTGACCCCTCTACATCAAAGGTGGGTCCCCACAATCCCATGCCCCCCCCCCCCCCCCCCATATTAAACCCGAATTATTCCCCATGTACCCATATGCTTCTGTAGGTCATGATGGGCGCACTTAGTATGATCGCTTTTCGAGGGTCTCAGGGGGCCACTTCCTTGGACAGAACATCCCAGAAGCCCCACAGCTCTGTCGAATCCAGAACAGTGCAGCTCATTGTTGGCGTTGGACCCCACAAAATCTCTTCAGCTTAGCATATCATGTATACATGAGCCCTAAAGAGCCTGAGGTAGATGGAACCGTCAGCAAGGGATATAACCGATCCCCTACAACCCAAAGCCTTGGCCCCCCAGAGTCCTCCTTCTGCAGCTCAGGTGTCACCGGGGGTTTGGCAGCTCACCTGCGAAGCAGAGCAAGCAGTGGTCCGGGTGGGGAGTCGAGGTTTGGGAGTTTGGGTTTAGGGTTTAGGGTTTGGGGTTTAGGGTTTAGGGTTTAGGGTCTAGGGTGTGTTGTTGGTGGTTGAAAGGGGTGGCGGAGCAGAACGGCACTCGAAGAGAAATCCATCCCTGGAGGCTGTCTTTTGCGTAGATTTTTTGGGCTTCAGAACTGCCTTCGGTTACCTTTTAACTTTGTGGTACCTTACCGTAACTTTAGATCCTTACCTTTTTTGGGTTTATTGGGTTTCTTAATAAGGCAGCTAAAATTTTGAATTTTAGCTACCCTCCTAAGTGCAGCCAAGTTAAGAGGTGTGCAGCTCAAGCCTTCCTCATCCTTTTGCTGAAGCCCGGGGCATCCGACGATGAGCCCGGCCCGACGCGTACGTCCCAACGAATTCAACCCTCAAGGTCCATCCATCTATACTGTCCCCCAAACTTGCACACCCCGAGCCTAAGAAACTGCAAAGATGCAAAGAGAACGTGCGTGGAGCCACTCCGTATACTGCTCCGATCCCAAGGTCACTGACTGAGGGTTTCAGGTTTAGGGTTTAGGGCTCAGGGTTGAGAACCTGAAACCCCCTTTGACCCGTTAAGGCCTAAAGCCTTAAACCCTAGAACCCTTATAGTCGTGAATCCTTGAATCGTGAAACCCTGTTATTCCTCAGGCGCCATCCATAGAGCGCCGATAGGAAGGCCTGGCGGCTTAAACAAGTTTTGGGTTCGGGGGTTTAAAGGCTTTAGGGCTTAGGCTTTAGGATTCAGGGTTCAGCGCTTGGGGTTTCGAAACTCTGGGAGATTGAGGGCTGCGAGCTCCTCTCTTTTTTAAGGGGTTTTACGTTTGGACCTTTGGATTGAGTTCCCCGGGTACTCCTGATGAGAGAAATTCCTTCCAGTTGGATTGCAAGGGCTTTGTGCGAGTACTGCGGCGCCAGATTCATCTCTCATGTGGGGTTACTCTGGAAGGTTGCAGGACATTCCAAGCGTGGCGTTCTTTGCAGATATCGCATGTGGAGGAGGCTTCGGTAAAGCCCCTGAACCCCATGTAAAACACCCTCACATCTGTCACCATCACAACACTCCGGAAATCTGCATTCTTCAGCCTGGTCAAGGGCTTGAGGCTCAACCCTACAGACCTCAACACCACAGCCGAAGATGCCGCAATAACGCCCCATGTATATCTGCAAAGCTCCAACCCTAAACCCTAAACCCTAAATCCTAAACCAGAAAAAGTATCAACAGTCACACCCCGCAGCTGAAGATTCCGGATCAGGTGTTTCTTTCTTCCACAGACGCCGTACCTCTGTATTGGCAGCCTTCGTGATAATGCCACCTGCATGCACATGGCAGCCGTGCTTTGTGCAGTGCTGGCACTTGCATATGCCCCCCAATCCACACATGTAAGCCAAGCCGACAGGATGGCCCGCTCTCAACGCAGTAGGGTCGCCCTGAACCCCAAACCCGAAGCCCTAAACCCTAACCCCTAAACCCTAAACCCTCAACCCTCAACCCTAAACCCTAAACCCTAAACCCTAAACCGTATAGGACTTTTAAAGGGCGTGGCGCGAACGGATCTCAGGTTCTCTATCCAAACATGCGGCGCGACCGGGAGGTCCCCAATGAGCGCATCCAGAGCATCATGCGCCACCTGACTTCATCTAGGGTTTAGGGCTTAGGATTTCGGGTTTAGGGCTTAGGATTTCGGGTTTAGGGTTTAGGGTTTAGGGTTTGGGGTCAGGGGCCCAGGGTTTAGGGTTGAAATGTTGAGGGCTCTGACTGAGGGTGATAGATGGATCGAAACCCAGAACAAAATGATGCAATAGAAAAGGAAGCGATGGATCTCGATGCGCTGACAGACTGTCACAGCCATTTCGGGCTTGAAGTGTTCGATGGAACCCTAAACCCTAAACCCTAAACCCCAAACCCTAAACCCTAAACCGTAAACCCTAAACCTAAACCTCTTGTGCTTCTTCAGGGCAGGCCGGAAGAAGTTTGGGACGTAAGCCCTGGGTGGAACCTATCGATTTGCGAACCAAGAGCCCGGGAACCTCAACACCTACGCCCTATAGACCCTATAGACCCCAAACCCCAACCCTACTCCCTGAGAGCAGCATCTGAGTCCTAAACCCTAAACCCTAAACCCCTTAAACCCCTTAAACCCCTTAAACCCCTAAATCTCGGAGCACCCCCAAGCTGCCCAGGAGACCTGGGCATCGACCATCTGATAGAACGCCGCTGGCCTCGCATTCGGGGGTTTAGGGTTTAGGGTTTAGGGTTTAGGGTTTAGGGTTTAGGGTTTAGGGTTTTGGCAGTACGACACCCTAGACTGGGTAGAGTTTAGGTGGGATTGGACCAGAAAGGCCTTGAGCCAACAATCCCGAAACTCCGAAACCTGGGCTTCTTTACCGAAGCCCCAAACCCTCAACTTCCGACCCTAAAGCCCTAGAGCCGTTAGTTATATCTCAAACCCTAGCCCTCAACCACAACCCCAACCTCAAAACTGAATGAGGTTCAAGGCTCCCTTGAACAGTAGCCAACCCCCAAAAAGGGGTAACCCTGAACCCTAAACCCTAAACGCTAAACCCTAATCATCTTTAACATGGTTTCTGGGCTACCAAGAGACATGGACCCCCCAATAATATCGGCGAACTCCGTAGGCCACGGCCTCGATGAGCGGCTGGACTTCCAGGGGATTCTGTCAGGCGCCTTCTGGCATAGGGTTTAGGCTTTAGTGTTTGGGGTTGAGGGTTTACCCCTTCTATGGGGGCCTGAATAGTTAGAACAGGGTTTTGGGGGTTCCCCTACATTTCTGGCTCGGAAGGGGGGGGGGGGAGGGTTGGGTTTTGGGGGTTGGGGGTTGGGGGTTGGGTTTGGGATTTGGGGTTTGGGTTTGGGGTACAGTATGGGGTTTGGGGTTGGGGGTTTGGGGTTTGGGGTTTGCGGCTTGGGGTTGGGATTTTTGGGTTTGGGTTTGGGGTTTGGGGTTTGGGGTTGGGATTTGGGGGTTGTGGTTTGGGGGTTTGGGGTTTTGGAGTGTGGGGTTTGGGGTTGGGGTTGGGTTTGTGGCCATTTGCCTACTGGCACGAGCGAAAACACACACACCGTGCTTCCCTATACGTAAGAAGCCCATACTGCAAGCACAGTTTGGGAAATGAACACCGAACAAATCTCATGAAACTCCTGGGCCCTTCGCCTTTACTCAGATTCTGTTCCAAGTGGGGTACAATTCACAAGCCAGCAAGCCAATGCTCGCGGGGATATGAGAGCCCTGACGCAGGTGGCGAGAAGCAGCGTCTAAGCTTTGCACGCTTATTGCCCCGGCCCCGGTGTGACTCTGGTGAACCGTATAGATCAAAATCTCGGTAGGCCCTTGGGACATTTTCTATTTTCCCTTATGGGGTTTATCCCTAATTGGGCTTAAGAGGACCATATTCAGGAATATTTTTCAGAGGGGTTTTGAAGGAGAAAAAGACCCTAAACCTCGAAACCAACGGCTCTTCAGATTTGGGAGTTGGGCTTGCCGCAAAGCAGGCTCGGCTCCTGGTTCTTACAACCCAGACATGGGCTTCACCCTTATCGGCCCTTATCCGGAAGCCCTATAGGCCCTCATCCTCCAACCCTAAGCAGTCCCATTATTGTACGTACCCTATGTTTGGATGCCCGTTATGCACGGAGCGCACCAGGAGACTCTTTTAGAACAACCCTCCATTTAGGATGCAAGGTTCAGGCTTAATTAGGATCTTTAGACAGCCCCAATCATGACATGGGCCTTTGGGGGCAAAAGGAGCCCATAACTCAGACCGTAACTACACCCTCCGCCTTCAACAGAACCGTACCTTCAAAACCCAAGCACAATCCTAAGCCAGAGCGCGCCCCGAACTCACAGGCTCCAGCCGAATGTTCAGCTGGCGCTGCTGGATGAGGTGTGCAGCTCCTGTTCAGCCGATCAGTTCTCCGTGGTGATTGGTGTAGGGTTTAGGGTTTAGGGTTTAGGGTTTAGGGTTTAGGGTTTAGGGTTTAGGGTTTAGGGTTCAGGGTTCAGGGTTCAGGGTTCAGGGTTTAGGGCTTAGGGTTTAGGGTTTAAGGCCACAAAGATTTTGGAAACCCCAGCTGGGCCGAAGCTCGGATTGCTTGTACAATCCTCAAGCACTCCGGGCTGAAAATCTTGGAAGCCTCACGCCTCAACGCTTTGACTTTCGTGGTCTAAGCATTTGGGATTAGGGCTGTGAAACACTAGACCCCAAAGCCCGAAACTCCAAACCGCCCCGAGAATTTGGGGTCCATTTTTCGAGGGTTCCCTTTCTTTAGAGGACTTAGGGTTTAGGGTTTAGGGTTCCTAGGATGATAGTAGCGAATAAGCCTAGCCGGGGGTTATCAAGCCACTCCCTTCCAGGCCACGTCAGCCCTCGACGAAGAAAACGAGCAGCCTGGCAGCACTTCTCGATTTGAGAGGAGAGTTCGACAAGGATTCAGAAGGGTTAGGGTTTAAGGTTTTTTTTAGGGCCAAATTTTAGGGTTTTTAGGGCCAAAGTTTGGGGTTTTCAGGGTGTTTAGGGTTTAGTTAGATTCAGAAAGGAAGAGAATAAATTGGAGGTCCTGAGCGGCCATGAGACGTGCAATGAAGAAGGTCCCCGGAACGGACGCCGCTAAAGAGGGCCCGGCGCAGATTGTACACCATGCTCTGGTGTTTGTTAGGGTTTGGGATCTAGGGCTCAGGTCTTAGGGTTAAACAGTTCTACTCTTGACGCCATGTGAGACCATGTCAGGACATCCTTGATGTTCAACGAGGGGGTTGAACTCAAGCCCCCCCCCCCCCCGGAACGTATCGGAGAACCTACAAAAGTCCGTGAAACCTTGACGTTTGATTGCTCAGGGCACACCTAGCACTAATGAGGGTGCACCAAGATGACGATGGCAATGCCTCGGCCATTGCAGGAGAAGCCAACCGAGCACTTCAACCCGAATCGCCGAACCTTCAGCTCTAGTCGTGAACCCTGACCTCTACATCTTAGCAATAACAATAGCATCAGAGTAGTGAATAGTAGTGACAGCAATGTTAATGTTGTGGGTAATAGGAATATTAGACCCGCCGCATGGACAAGAGCTGCAGGCGTATTGCTTACAACTTGCTGCGTGATCATGCCTGGGGCCTCAGTTGGGTTGGGCGCGAAGGGTTTAGGGTTTAGGGTTCAGGGTTTAGGGTTGTTTGGGTCTTATAGTGGCTTTTGGGGGCATATACGGCTAGGTCTAGGCTTCTTGAGGCTATTGGCTTTCATGGGTATCACGCGCCGATAACGGGTCGCTTCTGAGCATGCCGCATCTGAGGAGCTGGGGGCATGTGGGCGCGGGGTGGAATTTTGGGTTCAAGGGGTTCGTTCGATGTTTGGGGCGGTTTTGGGCTCTACGGCTCCTCCAGCCTCCATAAAGAATTCCATTTGTGGTTGCATTATGGGCGTCAGTCATAAACTTTGGGTTGCTTGTAATTCCGTGGACATCAAGTCACCCTAAACTCCAAACCCTCAACCCTTATAGGTCGGTACTGAGATACAAAATCACATCTGGGTAGGCCCTCATAGGTAGAGAGTGACAATGGTGGGGCAGTTTGGGTTCAGGGTTTTTTAGCTCGTGTTGTAGGAGGCGGGGTGGCGGGGGGGGGGGCCTTTAGGGCACAGGGCAGTGTAGGCACGCGGGGGCACTCGGGGCAAGGAGTTAGGGGGCGAGATGCGTTGCGAGTCTGCCAGAGAGTTTCATCTTCTTCGGCCTCTGGAGCTAAACTGGCAGGTTCTTAGTAGGGAATGAGGGATATACAGGGCCCGAGTTTTTTCTCATTCCTTACTCAGAATCAGGGGATACACTGCAGGGGATAATGCCGAGGATTCTGAGAGGGCTTCAGTGCCCCCAAGTCAGGGACATCACTCCTCGACCCACTACTACTCTCATGCCTCAGAATCAAAAAATCACACCAGCCTTAAACCCTCGACCTCCTCAACCTCGGGAACTCCTTGTGAGGGCAACCCTTAGGACTGGGACCCTAAGTCAAACCTAGGGGTACCGGTAGTTTGAGGGGTATAGAAGGGGTTCTTAAGGGGTCCCCCTTTTCAGGGCCCATACGAAGCGGCCATGTAGCGACTCTAAGCCAAACTCTCCAGGTTCAGTGCTTCGTCTCCGTGGGGCACCGGCCGTGCCTGGCAAGGTCTCACAGCCTGCGCCTGCACCTCAACAGGCCATGGGTTTAGGGTTTAGGGTTTAGGGTTTAGGGTTTAGGGTTTAGGGTTTAGGGTTTAGGGAGAAATCCGGGAGCTGTCCAGTTCCAAGGTTTAGGGGAAATTCGGGGTTTCAGTTTCGCGTCAAAGTTTTGGGGAGTTCGGTGAGTTGAAGCCCTCCTCTTTTAGACCCAGTCCTAGGTTTCTGGGGCACCTGGGTCGTGAAACTGACATGAGGGGAACCCTTGAGCCTAAGCCCGAAAAGGGCTTAGGACTTATGGAGCTGTATTTCGGCGCTGGGGCACGATATAAAGGTCGCATGTGTCCGGGCAAGTGTCGGGATGAAAACTTTTGGCCATGGCTTGCACGCACATAGCGACCGCGGAAGATGAGAAGAAGGCGTTAAAGATGAAAGCCCAGAAGCTTTCAATTGCAGGTACAGTACTGCCCTCAATCTCAAGCAGGCACGGAAGTTCCAAAGTGCACTCGAGATAAACCCTAAACTTCCTAAACCCGACCAGAGCACTGGAGAGAGCTCTGCAGGCTGGATGATTCCCTTGGATGCGAAGGCTGGCAGGATCTATCAGGGATTCGAGTTTTCGGGCCAGAGTTCCTGTGAGACCAGGAATTGGTGTGCATGAAGCTCCAAATCCCAAACCCACCAAAGCCCTGTAGAATCTCCCGAGGCATCGTTACCACAATCGCTCCGGCCTCTCCTACTCGAGAGTGGTCTACTCGAGAGTGGTCCCCGGAGTCGGGACCTCGGCCTTAGTTGTTTAAGTGGTGTTCGAGAGTCCTGGGACCATGTGGGTCTGGTGCAGACATTGTGCGCTTGCTGGCATTCTGGCATTCTTCATGTCACCGAGTAGCTTTGAGACGTAAGCTCAGGCTAGCCTTTGAAAGGTCCCTGGTGTGCGACGTTGTGTTTGTTTGGAACTTCCTGTTCCAATCGCCCGTGCTCTGGGTTCTTTGGAGTTGTTTGGATCTAAGTTCCGGCGATGTCTGAATAGTGAAAACAAAAAGCTGTTGCATGAAGCAGTGTTGCAGCCCCTTCTGTCGTAGTTTGTGAAGTGGTCATTGCTGCGAATGCTGGCTCACCATGCTCACAAAAGCTATCAAAAACTGCTGTCATAGGCTGTCCTGCATGGCTACGTGTAAATTTGTCATGAGAACTACCATCCGTAGCATGAAAACCTAGCCAAAGCCTAGGGCCCGGGGGTTTTTTGGCGGGCCGCAGGTCGACGCACAAGATCTGACGCAGCCGAGGTGAAACCTGCCGCTGAGCCCTAAACAAGGGTTTAGGGCCTCGGGTTTCGGGTAGCCGTACCTCTTACCCTTCTCAACTCTCCTAAGCTCTATTCAATAGACCCCTAAACCACTAGCCATGGAGAGACCAAAGTTCATCTCGTTTGGGGCGAGAAGAGTTTCGGAAAACTCCTTAGGGTTTCGGGTTCATTGCCTAGGGTGTAGAGTTGAGGACGTACGGTTCGTTGGGGGGTGAGGAAGCGTAGCGGAAGCAAGCCCCACATCAAAAACAAAACACCGGCTAAACCCAAAACCCTAAACCTGAGGAACCCTAACCCTTAAACCTAAACCCTTAACCCCTAAACCCTGAGCCCTTAAACCCTGAACCCGGAAGTGGCGGCTGGAAGTTCCTGTGCATTTTTTCTCTTCGGCGTGGTCAAAGCCCCAGGCGGCCCCCCCTTTCCAGCACCCGTCCGCAAAAGTGACGGGGGCCTTGGATGTGCATTTGAGAACGTCTTCGGTAGGCCCTTGGGATACTCTGCGCTTCCTCCCGTCTTGGGTTCAAGAGGATCACTAGAGTGGCGCAAGGTTTGTTGTCTCGCTTTAGAGGGCCAACCATGGACAAATCCTGAGGGTCCGGGCACCTGGTCTGGGTTGAGGGGTTGTAGGGCTTGTAGGGCTTGTAGTAAAAAAAGGGATTCTTTGGCCACTTTAAGCAGAAGAGGGGGCTCCTACATAGCTAGGCATGACGGGGGGTGCCGGGACCCTCTGCTGCTGTGTCGGTCGAGAGCCTCATTAGCCGCCGGCCACCTCAAGCCCAGCAGAGCACCAAAGAGACGCAACCCCTAAACCCTAAACCCCAACCCCAAACCCCCAAACCCCAAACCCTAAACCCTAAACCCAAAGCCCTAGCTCTTGGCGGCGAAGCCGCGGCGGAACCAGAAGGGTTAGAACCGCCTTCCGGTACGAGAGGCCTCCTGACATGGCCTTTGGAGCAGGGTTTGGTGTTTCGGGCCGCGGCATTTAGGTGGTTTTAGGGTTTAGGATTTAGGGTTTAGGGTTTAGGGTTTAGGGGTTCTTCTCGAACTCGCTTGGGATCCGGTGGTTAGGACTCAGGGTTTGAATTGCGGAGTAGGGATGGGGCTTTCGGGTTGGCAATCTGAAGCCAGTGTCGTCGTGCTGCTTACAGGCACGCCGTGATGACAGGATCGAAAGCAATCGGAAGTAAGTATGGTTTGGCAATGGCAAAGTCCTTCTGGTCCGTGTCGGAACCTCCAAACACTCTGCATGGCAGACATCGAGACAAGCTCGATCAGCTCCACATATAGCGCCTGCCTCCTGAGCTCTGCTACAGCCGTGTGGAGACGCCTTGGCATCGACACTGAAAGTGGTAAGGACTTCGTGCGGGCCCCTGAAGTTACTCCTGCTACTCTTTGGAGGCGCACCTACCGTGTAATTGTGGGGCATCATGGAGGGTGTTGGGGTTGCAGGTAGGTTTGAGGGTGTAGACTTGCAGGCACCGCCTCTTTTGGCAAAATGCTCTGAGCTCAAGCTTACCACGGGGTATGATCGAACCCCTGACATGTCTCAAGCAAATGGCTTTGGGATTTGGGGGTTCAAGGGTGAGAGTACTGGGTGAGAAAGGCTGTAACGGCTGTGCATTACCCTCGACGCGAATTCCGGCTGCAGGGCACCTAGATCGATTACAGCCGGCGTTCCTCCAAAGCATTCGGCTGTGCAGATGCGAACGGACGGCCAGGCTTGCACGAATACTCTGGCTTCCAAGCTCCTCCTCGCTTTGAAAAGAGCGACCTGGGAAAGTCTAGCAGGGAAGCTCTCCTACAATCGTAAGTGCTTGTAGTTTGGGGCTGGGTTCAAAGTCAGCTTCCACGTTCCAGTGCTGTCCTGCCATCTACTAGGTCCTTCCTTCACAGTAAAGAGTCAAGGTGAAGCTTCTTGCAAGCCTCGACTCGACTTCCGCCATCTAGTCCTCAAGTGTTTTTGGGGTCATAAATACTCCAAACCAAAGCCCCATCATCCAGTTCTACGTAATTGTACTGGTATACCTTTACATACAGCGCCCGTACATGACGGCGGTGGGCTCAGCACAGGACCTTCTCAATTCGGAGGAAGTGCGCGAGCATGGCTGCCCAGAGGAGGATCTGGGCAATGCGGCTTCAGGGGCTTTAAGAGGCTTAAGAGGTTAGAATTCGGGCTGAAGGGGGGAGACGCGGTTTTCCTAAAGTTGGCTGAGGATGCCAAAGCGAACCCCCTCCCACTGGAATTGGGTCGTGCTTGCTTGATCTTATTTTCATAGAGATTTGGGAACCCTACACGCTAAGCCCCAAACAGCGTTCTGCTGCTTTGGAGTTAGGTAGGGGCCCTTCTGAGGGCAGGGTTTAGCGTGCGCTTTAGACTTCGGGCCGCAGTGTCCCATCCATCCTTCATGACCCGGGAGCCCTGGTAAGAGGTGGCACGAACAAGGTGAACAATTCCAACCTTCAGTTTCAACAATGGTCCCTTGACCCTGAACCCTAAACGGCCCTTAAGCATACTCATAGCAATCATAGTCATAAAGAAATGCAGACCTGGGGTTTCAGTTCGAAGCTCCTGGCTTTAATTTGTTCTACAGGGCCTGAGGCCCATTCTCCCCCATGTAAGCCTGAGTCCTTGTCCTAATTTTTTGGTAGCGCTGATGTGAAAGGGTTTCGAGCTTGGGGTGTAGGATATACATACACATATAGAAGCTCAGCTGTTGAGAAGGCGCTGGAGGCCAAAGCCCGTTTTGCTGTCTCAAGGAGAGTCTGGGAGGCCGAAGGGCTGTACTGTCCCAGTTTTTTTGATTCCAGAAACGCCGCAGTGTCCCAAAAACCAAACAAACCAATCTTTTTGAGGGTCTCCGGAGCTGAAAGCCACAGAGTTTGGGACAGTCCAGCGTTTTTGCACTACTGAAGCCAAGAAGATTGGGTCAGTACAGCACTTGAGGCCCTTCAGGTGAACAAACACACTGTACTGTCCCAATGTTTTTGGTGGCGAAGGTGCAAAAACACCGTACTGTCCCAATGTTTTTGGTGGCGAAGGTGCAAAAAACACCGTACTGTGCCAAACTCTGTGGCTTCCAGCTCCAGAGGCCCTGAAAAGATTGTTTTTTTTGCATTTACCAATAGAATAAGCAGATGGAATCGTTTTTACTGTTTTTCACATTATTGAGCTTTCCGTTTAAGTATGAAGTTCAACAAATCGAATTCACTCAATGATTCTTTCAGGGCCGTTAACTTGATCAGTTTAGACCATTGAATTCACGCGATTAGTCTTAACGACTGTAACTTAACTAGATCAAGTTCCTTGAATTCGGCCAATTACTGATTAGCTAAAACTACTTCAACAAATGACATTGCCAACCTTTTATTCATGGCTTAATTCATCTAAGTGTCCCTTAACACTGCAAATCTCAGAATAGCAAGGGCACATGAGTGTCCCAGTAGCTGTCCTTCATTATTTGCTTGTCACAAACAACACCTTTTGATATTTGCTCGCAGTATTCTCGAAGGTTCTGCTGCACTGCGAGGAATAAGCAAATGACCACCTGCAAGGCTCCTCGAGATGTCTGGGCAGCAAGAAAATTATGAACACTGGTGTCTTGTATATAAAGCATGATAAAAAAGGGGCGCATGGGGAGTGGTAGCATATACATATATATATATGTATACATTATACATATACATGATACCTGATACATGATACATGTTCCTTCCGCTAGCTGCCTAGACTTCGAAAGTCCTCGCACTGCCCTCCGCTGAGGTCTGCACTGGAGGAGGTGCGGCGGGCGGGCGCAGAGCGCAATGCAGCGGCGCTGGCACTGGCCCTGGTCTACAGTTCCCAGGGTTTAGGGTTTAGAGTTCTAGGGTCTATAAAGTGTAGGGTTTCGGGTTTCGTGTGAAGGTTCGGGCTCTAAGCTTCGGAGACGGATGGGCCTCATGAATGATCCGAGCATCACCAGACCCAACCGCAATCCCCAAACCGAGCGGCGGGCGCTGCGGTGAGCAGCAGGGCGAGCTTACCGAGATGTTTAAGCAGCCCCCGTAGCTGAGGAATGCCGGCCCGAGACCAGGTGCTTTGCACGTCTCCGCACGTGATGGAACATCTGTAACGGTTCACTCAGAAGCAGACCCTAATTTTGGAGCAGCCCAACAAGGGTCTCGAGAGCATCGGAAACCCCTTGGACAGCTTAAACCCTAAAACGCTCCCAACCCTAAACTGAGTACAAGCTCAATTGTCAAGTTGTGGTTTCCATCTTAAGCTTGGGGTTGGAAGGAGAGCGCTCTGCAGACAGCCTCGGCTCAAGGAAAAAGGAGGGCCCTTGGGTGTGGGATTTGGGGCATGTAGGGGTTTAGGGTTCCAGGTTCGGTGCGGATGCTGGGTTTCTTGCTCAAAGGCCACAAGGCTGTGGAGCTTGTAGCTTGCAGAGCTAGAGTCGGGAGTCGGGGCTGTAAAGCTCCGGAAGAAGGCTTTGGATTGGTCTTTCCGCTCAGGATGGGGGGGGGGGGCAGGTTGCTCCCTGGTGGCTGGCTCTGAAAAGGTGCGCAAGGCCAGCTTGGTAGACACTCCAAGCCTTACTTAGGGGGGGGCACTAGAGGACCTAGAGGAGCCATGCTACGACCACCCCAGACAACAATTCATGGAGTGGAGGGGGGGGGGTGGTTTCGGGTTCCGTGAGCCCTCAGACCAGACCTATAAAGAAGCACCTCCGAGGCACAAGCCATCAAGAAATGCTGGTCTCCAGCATTCGGTTCGCAACATGCTGTTTGGAAGCTTTGATCTTGGCGTGGAAGCTCGCAGGTTTCACGGTAGGGCTGTAGGATTTGATTGGTTCCTTTAGGGTGTTGGGCGGAGAGCCTGTCTGTAGGGTGTCTCCGTGTGAAGCTGTTGTGGTTTGAATGGAGCTAGCACCTGCTGGAAAGCAAGAATTACCGCCACCAGCCTCCCCGACCTAAACTCTGGTCATCGGCAG